AGAAATTGCATGAATATTTTAAACATTTTTGTGCCTCAGAGGATTCTAACAAAGGGGGTCTACTTGCAACTATATTAGAAAGTTCAGGGTAGGTGATTGCAATTATTAAACTATAGGAGAGGTTTCAGTAATATACCCTTCTTTTAAGCTTGATAAAACATTTTTAGATATCAAATATCAGTTTTATAAAAGGGAAAATTATAGTTAGAGCTAGTTATACATTTAAAATTAGGCTAAAGGTTGGTTTAGAAACCAATGAAACTCTAACAACCACCTACATTAATTTCAAATTATAATGACCCCGCCATGCTATCAGAGGTTTATGTGGCTATTGCTAACATGACTCTTAATCCATGTTGGATACAACAAAAAACCTATACCAAAAATATGTTTTCAGTTTTTCTCTCGCTCCCCCTGTCTCCCGATCTCCCTCCCTTCTTTCTCATTCTCACACTCATCTCTTGATCTCCCACTCCCTCTGTCTCTCCCACTCTCTCAACTTCGATCTGCAACCAAATCAAAACCTCTATTTCTCCCATTCTCTCTGTCAATCTCTCTCGTTCTGTGTGTGCGTGAATCTATCGTTCTCCCTCAATTTCTCTCATTCTTCTCCCTCATTCTCTCTCTTGGTTGATATCTCCTTCTCCATCAATCTCTATCATTCCCCCTTAGTTTTTCTCTCACTTCCTCTCTCGTTCTTTTATTTTATTATTCTTATAAACTTATACGTTATTAATCAAATCATATAAAAGTACTAAAGAGACCAACCACTTGTACAATTAAGTAAAGGGAATAGGCGATAAACTAAGGGAGAACGATATAAAATGAGGGAGAAGGAGAGATCGACCAAGAAGAGAATGAGGGAGAAAGGAGAGATCAACCGAGAAAGAGAATGAGAGAGATTAAGGGAAAACGATAGGAGAGAGAGAGAGTAAATTCAGAAATTGGAAACCATTTTTTTTTTTTTATTTTCAAATCACACATTGAGTAGAGAGAGACGACTGTGAGAGTGAGAGAGTGGGAAGAAGATTAGGAGAGAAAGAGATAGATAGATAGAGAGAGAGAAAGGGAGAGAGAGACTGAAAACCTCTTTTTTTATTTTCAAACCACTTAGCATTAAAGGGCAATTCTAGTATAGGCTTTTTGCTATGTCCATCATGGACTAAGAGTTTTTTGCTAGGTCAAAAATGGATTAAGATTTTTTTGCTATGTCCAATATGGATTAAGAGTCTCATGTTGACAATAACCACATAATAAGCCTCCAATGACATGGCAGGAGGTTTTTATAATTTGAAATATAGAGTTAGTTGTTAGAGTTATGTTAGTTTTTGGACCAATAACTTTATAGTCGGTTCTGGCTATAATTTTCCCTTTATAAAAGGTCATTGGCCAGTACCTGACTAAGAAAATAGTCATTTTAGKATATATATATATATATATATATATATATATATATGGAGAGCCAAAAATCAACGTGCTATCACTAAGCTTAGCCAAAACCACTCTAATGTAGCATGAAGTTGTTTTAAAGACAACAGACAACAGCTATCTTTTAAATTTATTGATTCCGCTTTTAAATTTTAAGGTTGCATAGTCGATGGAAAACTTTATTGAGTGGCCTTGGTTGTATTTGATACATTGCTGTTTTTTGTCCAAAACTTTTTGGTTGGTTGATTCAACTAGAAAAATGCTAGTATGAATTGACCTGAAAGTCAAATTTAACTTTGCAACAATAATATTTATTGATCAATCCAAAACATTTCAGGTAAAAACAACAATCACAACAAGAACAACCCATGTATAGAAATTTGCTTCTTTGTAAAATGGATTTTATTATGTTTTTTTTTTCTGTCTTTATGTATATCAGCTATCAGTTTTTATCTCCCACAGTGAAAACTTTGTTTTCTATCCCTTTTAGGGTTCATTTGGTTCGCAGTCGAAATTAGAATCGAAATCCTTTAAAATTGGAATCGAAATTGAAATGATTTATTCTCATAATCTATTTGATTCAGACGAGAATTGGAATCATTTAGAATGAGATCTCATTTCTAAGGGAGGGGGAGGGAATGGGATTCCGATTTCATCTAACCAAACAGTTGGAATCAGAATGGCCCATTCTGATTTCGATTCCAGACCCCTATTCCCGTGAAGCAAACAAGCACTTAGTTTGTGCTGATATTGATGGCAAAAAAAAAACAGAGATTTCATTGCCAAAAAAGGGCCGGACGGCTGCAATGAGATCTTGCATCACAAGTGAATACGCTAATGTTTCATACACATGACCCCCATATAGGATCCACACCCTGTTTTTGGTGAATTCACATCAGCCCCCACAAGATCTCACAGCACAACTCAGCCGTGTATTGGGAATATCTCCCAATATGATAATGCAAGAAATGATGAAACATTGTTAGGAAGATGCTCTCAATGACTGGGATCTGTTGTGCGATGTTGTGGGACGTTCCCTTGTGAGGGGTTGATGTGAACTTGTTTTTGGTACACAAGAGAAGAGAAAGCTCAATTTACAGAGAAAAGGAAAAAGGGAAATAAAAAAAATGAAAAGACAAAAAAAAAAAACAAACAAAACAATGGCAGCAAACACACTAGTCATAGGCGACAGGACAATCATCAAGCAAAAAGTCTTTCGAGCCAAGGGTGGGCTAGCAACCCATTATTGGGAAAGAGAGTGGCCCATATAGGCTACCAGATGAGGTTGCCTAGCCCACTTTGTTTCTAAACCACCCGGTCCAAAGTAAATATTGCTTTTCAAAGACTTCAACAAATACATAACCTGCACACTTTAAGTACATGTCAACTGTTGGGTTTGGGTTGGATTCTAAAAACCCAACTTTGGAACATAATTAGGGTTCTAGATCTTGTCAAGTTCAGTGGATCCTAAAAACCCAACTTTGGTTCGGTGGTTCCTCACATGATTTTCATAATTCGATCGGACTGGATGGTCAGACTAGAAAAACCAGGAGCCGATCAGGTAATCGGTTCGGTTTTGCCCTAAAACCTATTTTTTGAGTGACCTATTGATTCAGGCGGTCAAACCGTCGATTCAGAAAATAGTTTTCGGGCCATTCATTCAAATCGGATGATTAGATCATTTGACCTGAGAACCAGTCCCTAGAAGGACTGGAATCTGGTCGTGAGCTCTAATTATTTACATGTTAGCAAGCTTTGAAGTATTCAACCCAACTCAATTCGAGCTTCCAATATGGAAGCAGGTCTTCGATGTCTCAAATAAGAGTGTTTTGAATTTTGAGTGATTTTAGGTTATGTTTAGTTTGAATAGGTAGAGAAAGTTTGTATAGGTTTCCTTATCTTTTCCTTCTTTTTTCTTACATTTTCCTTTAAACCAAATACAACCTTAAGCGATAGACATCCAAAACCGTCCCCTTAACTAATTTTGAAGAAAGAAATAAAAAATAAAATATATTTAAGCATCAAAACACTTTTTTTTTTTGGTAATAGAGATTGAATATATTCATTACGAGAAAAAAATTAAAGGGGGTGGGGGTATATATATTTAAAACAAAGGGACTCAAATGGGCCGAACCAAGTAAAGAAATGGTTTGCCATCAATGGATTAAAATCAGGGGAAAGGGCTGCACGAGCTAAATGATGAGCTACCCTATTTGTCTTCCTACCACAGTAAATGACTTAGATTGGGTAAAACGCCCTGAGAGGCTACAAATATCTGACCACACATTTTTCAGGGGGTTAAAATCAGGTTGTTTATTGAAATTTACGGTTAAAATAGCTTCTAAAGAATCAAATTCCACCAGAATTCTATATAGCCTTTCTTTTAGAGCTTCCCAGCACCCCAACCGAATGACTCTTCCCTTCAACATCAACGATTGATTGGCAATGAATTCGGTCTCCTCGAGCACCAACAACTTCCCCTTCCTGGTTCTTTATGACGCAGGCAATTCCCGCCCACTTAGAGGATGCGTCGAAGCTTGCATCACAATTCACCTTCATCCATTGGTTAGGAGGGGGGTGCCATCTATTGTTTGTTGCAGTTTTTGACTCCAAATGTTATGTGAGTTGTAGAAATTCCTTCCACATACTAGTGCTCTTCCATACTACCAATAGTGGGTCCGGGCTCTTCTTCACTAGATACACGTGTTCGTGCGTATTGGATGTATTGGTACTTTACGTAGTAGAACCAAATCGTATAAATAAAGCATGATTGCCAAACTTGGGTAGAAGTTCGTCGTGTTAAATGACATTTGACACCCTCTTGATTAGACCTGTTCATGGGCCGGGTGGCTCGATGGGCCGGGCCGGCCCGACCCGACCCCCGGATGGGCTTGAACAGGCTTTTTGGCCCGCGGGCTTAACCTCGGGCCAAAAAGCCCGGCCCGCATAAAATTCGAGCTGGGCTCGGGCTTTGCCAAAATAGCTTGGCCCGAGCCCGGCCCATCCCGACCTATAGTTAAACCTAAGTAAACCCGGCTCGACCTATAGTTAAACCTAAGTAAAAACCCTATGTGATGTCCATTTGAATAAATTTTTTGATTTGAGAAGGTTGTTGATTCACTTGTAGGCCCATTGTTCATTTAAATAGGGGAAAAAAACATCTGAATTAAAATAGATAATGTCTATTTGAATAGTGAAAATTTTGAATTTCTTTTATTAGGTCGGGCTTCGAGCTTTTTACCAGGGCCGGGCTCGGGCTCGAACCTAACATTTTTCCGTTAATAAAGAGTCAAAGCCCGGCCCGGTCCATGAACAAGTCTACTCTTGATGCATCTCATCGGGATGTGATGGTCATGCAGAAGCGTTAGCAGTGGCTCAAATTTGCAAAAGGCTATTTTAACAAGAAAAAAGAAAAAAGAAAACTTGGGGTGAGAGAGGCTCGAACTCTCGACCTCAGGATAACTCGAACGCTATGAGACCTACGCGCTAGCCAACTGCGCCACCACCCCGGTGATATATTAGAGTAGAATTATATCTTTATAATTTCTTACCAACGACATTTTACAGTCCACCATCGCTGTTGAAGCTTGAAAGTGAACTCAGAGTTCATAGCATTGGGACGGAAGTCTCCGGTGCTTAGCGCTTGCATTTTCAGTCGAGAAGGAACTATCAGAAAGTTCACAAGGAGGAAAAAGAACAAACAACTACGATTACACGCCGGAGCGGGAGAAAACACGGGAGGATGACACTGGGTCTGATCAATGCGAATCCAATTGTCCACGCCAAGAAGGAGAGGATCGCTCGAACCGAAGATCTCCACGGGGATGATGCTGTTGATCCCCTCGATATCTATGATATCCTTTCATCCTCCCTCTCCCTTCATTTCTTTCAATTCTCTCGCTTTCTCCCTTTCTTTTTCTTCTTTTTTTTTCCTAACTAAATATAGTTTTGCGCTATTTGTTTCCTTTATCAATGGAATGATCTGATTTATTTTTCTTTCACCATTAATTTTTTTTTTCTTGATCGGAACTGGCAGAAGACATTGTTAGAAGTATATTTTTTGTAGATGTTTTGTGGTTGGTTATATATTTCTCAAATTAATTAATATTTTTGGAACAATAATTTTTCTTTCAAAATTAAAGGAGGTTTGGCTTGTCAAAATTTGAGTATTAATCCTTTCGCTCCTGAAGTCTATTAACTTGAATTGTTTATTCTCTTTAACACAAGACTCAGATTTCGTGAGGGATATCAGAGACCCAGAGCATCCTTATTCGCTCGAACAGCTCAGCGTTCTCTCTGAGGAATCCATTACTGTAGATGAGAAGCTCGGACGAATTCTGTAAGAAGTTTCGTACTATTTTTCTCTTCAAGGTCGTTTTATTTTGTTCAATAGTTTCGGATTTAAGTTTGTAGAACTGTTTTAGTATTCTCACATAAACAGAGAGGAAAAAACTGAAACTTGGAGAAAATTTAAGCAGGGGCCACAGAATTGCAATACAAATTTTGGGTTAAAAATGACTCTGCACATGTAGTTTCGAGAGATTCTGGATGGTAATGTTTGAAGCCACTCAACTTGAAGAGGTAATTTTGGGGCGAAATTCTTTGAAGTGTGAAGAAATTTGCTTCCATTTGAGGAGGTTTGACAGCCGATTTATTTATTTGTTTATCTATCTTAGGGGGAGGGAGGTCTCCTTTGGTAAAGTTGCCTGTTTCATTGGACACCAAGATAAGTGACAAAAAGGATTGGCAAAGGGGAAAGAATGGAGAATTATGGGGATTAATTAAACACATGATTAATTGCATTATCTCAAATGGTAGAAATTGCATTCTTTGGATGTTTAGGATCGTTTAGTTATTGATTTAGTTCCTGAGATCACTTTGGTTGGGCATGCCAACAGCATGGCTCGTTTTTACAGAAAAAAATGGTATGTAGTCCCTACTTTCCTTTTACAGAAAAAAATGGTGGATATTGTTATTATCTTAACTCTTGCAGTCTGGCTTTTCAGTTTCCGTTTCCCTTCTTTCCCTTCTCTTCATTCTTTGAAATTGTTTTGGTCATTTGGGTTAGGTTTTAATTATATGTTATACTTTCATTGTGAAGTACTTTCTTTTCTCATGATTTGTAGGATAACCTTCACTCCGACCATCCAGCATTGTAGTATGGCAACAATCATTGGTTTATGCCTTAGAGTTAAACTGATGAACTATTTTCCTTCACATTTCAAGGTGAGATGCTATGCCTAATTCTGCAACTTGAAATTGGTCATTCAAGTTCCTTATAAATAATAGGAGTTTATATGTGCTTCATGGAATATGAACCCATCAGAAATTGTAATCTTTTCTCTAGCTTTGCTTTCAAAAATTGCATTTTTTTTTCTTGTTTCTGGTAAGAAATGGCCCCTGAGAGCAATACACTTTACAAAATTGAGGTGATCCCCATATCCCTAAATTTATTTATTTATTAATTTTTGGGTGGAAACCATATACCTAAAAGTTAGTTTCAGCACACTGTTGTATTTTTTAGTACATTTTCCTTTAAATTTAATCCATGTAATTCTTTTGATGATCAAGATGGTCTCTCCCATATGAGTAGATGCTTACATTTGATTCCTTGGATTAGTGGGAGGTCCAATGAATTTTCTTTTGATACCTGTGCCTCAGACCTCATTGATAGGATGCTTTATTGGTGTCAAATGCATGTTTCAGGCTCCTTGACGTTATTTAGAGTTTGGATATGTTTTAAGGGTGTAAGTCTGTTTGAACTGCTGTTGAAACAGGGTACCCAATCAGCTTGTGTGTAAATAGGTTAATTATGGAAATCTTTGGCTTGACCTGTTACTCCACTATTTCCTCCCTGCTCGCATTGACATGTGAGCATACAACCACTGAATTGAGAGCCAACCTGAGACCAACTCTGAGCCAAAGCCCATCCTAGCAAATGCTGCACAACTATTAGTTGGATTGTGATGTTACAACTTACAACTCAATCAATGCACAGGAGAATTTCTTTTTGGGGGTAGGGGTGGGGGTGGGAAGTCAATTTGATAATCTTGAGCCCATCTGATCACTGGCCACTCCTGAAACAATTCATGTATGTATGATAGAAGTCACTGTTGAACAAAAACTAGTTCTTGTAGGATTAACTTGTAAAATTTCTGTTTGATAAGCAGATATGGACCGTTAATATTGTCCAACATACCTCTGAAATGAAGGTTTTGTGCATGTTTATATATTGGAGTTCTTTTATCTGTTGAAGCTGATTGATCTTCATTATCTGAGAAGCTATTCTGTAAGCATCAAAGGACCTTTCCTTTAGCCGAGAACGCAGCAACCCTCCAAGCAAGGGGAAAACCCAACGAACCCAGAAAAGGTTAAGAAAATGGTACCAGACCTGAGAAGTGAAAGGGCAATGAATTGACAGGTGGTGTCCAGACTCAGGAGCTGAACCACTAAGAGGACACAAAGCACACAGGACCATTGCTAGCCTCACAGGAGCATCCACATTCTGAATCCTTTCCTTTCCAGCAAGCCACACAAAGGCGATAACCTTCAGTGGAATTTGAGTTTCCAAATCCACAACTGACCTTTCTCCCCCAATCACAGCCGAGTATCCCTGCGACTAGGTTCCAGCTTAAACTCATACGAGATAGGATTAGCTGAACGCTTTAGCTGTTCAGCAGGCTGTGGAACCAATAATAATACTCCACATCAGTCATAAAAGACATCGGGCTCACAACCATTTGTCCTCTCAGTGTGGGCCCCATGTATTTTATCACTGGTGTGAAGAGTTATCATTGGTTCCACAGCCTGCTGAACAGCTAAAGTGTTCAGCTAATGCGTATTCAACTCATACAACCTGCTCAATGACTCCTCCAGAAATGGAACCTCCCAATCATTTAAGTGTATGCGGAAGCTTGGAACCCACACCACTTGATCATCGATCATCTCCACAAACTTGCTGACTGGCCCCTCCTTATTAGATGCAATAGCAAAAAGAGAGGGAAAAAACTCACAATTTGGCTGGGCAGCAGCAAGGATCCATCCAGTAATGTGTTGTTTGAATGTCAAACAGAACAAGTATGAGCAAAAGGCCTTAAAACCATTCAAAATAAAACACAGAATAGTATATTAGTTTCAACATATCAGTGTGTGCGTGTGTGTTTTTTTTTTTTTGGTCAAAACCATGTCAGTGTGTTAATTATATATTATTTTGGATTGTTTGTTACATACTCATTTATGCTCTCTAAACATGGAACAAGCTAATGTGGTATTTTCATTTGTCTGCAATATCAGTTGGTTGTCTATTTGGTTTGTAATATGTGGATCAAAGTCTGAAATTCTAGTATGGAAGCTTGCTCGTACATCAGAAAATGAGGCATATTGTGATTTAAATGGTTGTTAGCTTTATATTTTCTTTTTCTTTTTGTTTAACAAAATTTGAGAGAAAAGAGTAAATTTGGGAAATTGGACAAGGATGAAGTATTATGTATATACATCCGGGCATTGCTGTTGAATCTCGACAACCTTTTTCTCCATTGTTCACCCAAACACTTGACCTGCTATATTCTTACTAATATATATGACCATACATTTGCACAGGTTGATATTAAAGTAGCACCAGGATCTCATGCAAATGAAGAATCAGGTAGGACTTGAATAAGGACTGACAAAGAATTTTATGCAAAATAATTTTATCCACTCGCTTTCTTGCTTTTTGTTCTTGATGCTAAAGTTTAAGAGAAGAAAAAAAGAAAAGAAACAAGTTCATATTGGAAAAAGGAAGAAGTTGAATGATGAAGAAAACTTCTTCCTGGAAGATTTTTCTATAGCAGATGCATCTTAATGCATGTTTTCCATTTTGCAGTTAACAAGCAGTTGAACGACAAGGAAAGAGTTGCTGCAGCTCTGGAGAATCCCAACCTTCGCCAACTTGTGGATGAGTGCATCTACTCTAACGAACTTTAACTAAGCTTCTTGTAGGTGCAACCTGTTGTACAGTAAATGCTTTATTGTTATGGATATATGCAACCATGCATGACTTTTGGGTTTGTATAAAATAATAGGATCCTTGGAAGCCCTCTTCTTTCTACTGATCCTCTTATTTGTTAGCTTACATGGATGCACCTCTGAGTGTTCTCCTACAAGCTGCAACAAGCATGGGCACCCCATCAGCTCATTGATTCAGATCGTTCAATTGGTGCACCATCTTTCGACTTGAGTGTGCAAGCAGCCCAAGAACAATTTAATAATGATGACGGTCCAAGGAAAAAGGAAAGTGGGGACTGGGGAGGGGTTGATAAAAATAGAAGAAAATGAAATTTCCTAATTCAGGCTGCATTGTTATGAATCAGCAGACTGCATCATGTACTCCTATATAACAAGCATATTTTAGCAGTTCTATTCTCGGCGTCCCTGCTGAGGTATTTCCATCCACTTTTTCTGATTGAGCATCTTAACTTATTAATCACAGTATGGTAGTTTTGGATTAATCCCGTTACCATAGAGCACAGTTTGGTTGCTCGAGTTGGCCCAAATCTCTTTATTTCTTTTTTTTTTTTCTTGAAAAATCTTCACTTGTTTCTTAGACTTGAGGTCGGCCAATTAGGGTTGACTAGGCACGTTAGGTAAGCACAACGAGTGAGCACGTAATAGCTGCGTAACACCCAGTTAATGTGCCTTTCATCCAAACGGTTTTACTCCGTTAGACATAAATTATTCATTATTTTATTATCTTTGTCAAAATAATTAAAAATAAAAAACAATGAAAAAGGAAAATGTATATGAGTCCCAACTCCCAATACGTTTAGGTTTTCCTTTTTCATTGTTTTTTATTTTTAATTATTTTGACAGATAATAAAATAATGAATAATTTCTTTCTAACGGAGTAAAATTGTCTGGATGAAAGGCACATTAACTGGGACATGTGTCACGCAGCTATTACGTGCTCACTCGTTGTGCTTACCTAACGTGCCTACTACATTCGGATCCAGTTAGTTATGGTGTTTTAGGAGTAATATGTTCATGTTATACGGAAAAATCTTATCCTCTGGAAATATTGACACATAGATGCATATGAATACACATTACACAGATACATAAATACATACACGCACATGCATTATGTGTGTATATACACGTATGTGTACAAATATGAATAGGCATATCAGTAGGGGTGGATTCGAGCCAAGCCGAACTGAATACTTGGCTATTCGAGCTCGGCTCACAGGAATGGTATCAAGTTTGATCTCGATTTGAGATAGAGACTTCAGCTCAAGTTCGGCTTGGTTCATAGCTCGTAAGTTCGAGCTCGGCTTGGCTCGAGCTCTACTATAAGCTAAGTTTTTTTTGAAAAAAAAATTATATGTATAAAATTATTTTCATATTTTAGACAAAAAATAAGAATTATAAAAATTATTTACTATTATACATAAAAATAAAAAAATATATTAATAAAAATATTATTATATATATAATGAAATTATTTATTATATATATTTATGTATGTATATGTATAATATTATATTATATATATTTATGTATATATGTATATATATTAAAAATTATTTATTTAATATTAGGTCCGCAAACTTCACGAGCTAAGCTTCACTAGGCTCGAGCTTGGCTCGATTATCAAACGAGCCTATATATTGGGCTCGAATTCAGTTCGAAGCTCGATTTAAATTGAACTGAGAAAAGCTTTTCATGAGTCAAGCTCGAGTAGCTCGTGAAAGGCTTGGCTCGTGGCCACTCCTATGGATTCGAGTAGGCAAATTCCTCACCCAACCAGACTTCGAATTGGCAGATGTCTTCAATTGATGCCCGTGATCCCAGAAGATGCTTGTTTTGTCTTTCAATCTTTCTTGCAGGAGCCCACAGTGTTGAGTTACTGCAACTCTAAGTGGGTGGATAAAACTAGGGGTGTCAATAGGTTAGGGATTGAACCGAACTGGTATTGTGCGACTGAGTTACTAGATAGCTGGGTCAAGACTTGATTGGAATAAACTGAATGCTCTCTGGGTCCTGGTTTTACAGGTAAATCTGATAATTTATTTGCCCCATCCAACTTGTCAAAATCATCATTTAATTGGGATACGGTCGACTGCTCGGTCAGGGGAGTCTTAAAACAAGCTCTCTTCGAGTCGCTATAACTATTATATTTCCACCAAAAGGTCAACGATTTGACCATCCAGTCCGAGCGGATGATCTGTTGCAAATTTTTTGAAAGATAAAAAATAATTAAAATAAAAAATGATCAAACCCCAAAGGTCAGTGGGTTATTGACAAGTCTACAGTTTTTGATAAAAGAATGACTCGGAAATGAAACGGAACCGATTGTTTGAACAGTTTTCAAGCTAAACGGAAATGGTCTGACCATTTGGGTCAACCATAATTTGAAAACCATGCTTAGGACCTTCCACAGTTCTACTTTCATTATCTTATAAGAAATAGTGAACTTACCAATTGAGCCACCACCGGTTGGTAAAATTGTTGAGATGTTAATTTTGGATTGATTAATGCAATTTGTTGATTCTACCTCAATTTCAACAGTTAAGCTATATGGTATTCTAGTTGAAGTGACACTCTGTGATGTGACAATGCATATATATTTCCACCAATTTGTATTGATCAATGAATTTCACATAAAAGCAACAATGGTACCAAACACAGCCCAATACCTTTCACCCGATCGATAATGTCATATGTGTACATGAGAACACTTGATTCAGCTGTGGGGTAAAGCACGGTGCACAGGAGGTTCACTGACCAATTGCCCATACGACATAGAGCCTACAGTTTTGCAGGTTTGATCCCACACCTACTATTTTGAGGGTAAGTGCCAAATGACCATCTTAACAACTGGGTTCTCAACAGAAGATTTATGATTCCAGAGCCCAGACTGGAGCGGATTTTCTTTGTTCACCTTGCCGGCGAGGCAGTTACAATTTTCTGCTTGTTAAAGATGGTTCAAAGTATCGCCCCTGTGTATTGGCAGGGGCATATCGGTACTTAAAAATATATGTTTATTTTTTTTTAATTTTTTCAAAATATAATTTTTAAAGATATATTTTAATGACTTTTTTATTAAAATAAATCAAGGTCCTAAAACACTTGTAAATAGGTGTATCAAGACTAAAAGATACGATACAATATATCCGATACAATATATCAAGACTAAAAGATACGATACAATATATCCGATACGAAATGTATCGTATCATACTTTTGAACCTTTTACGAATGCTAAATCGTTACATTTTGTGCCCTATAACAGTAATTTGATTGGTTAAAACTTAAAAAGTAAACTAATGATCGAGCTTGGTGCAAGAATTGGGCGTTTAGGTACCTAGACATGCATCATTTACTTAATACCTATCGAACCTTGTCAAATGTTATTCACATTTTTGTTTTCTAGTGGATTGAGCGTCCAGCTCGGGAGATAGGAACGATTGACCCACCACATGGCAGCTTTCATTAGGCTGAAATCCTGTCTGGTTTGAAAACAGTTGATGGTTGATGTAAAATAAATTTGTGTTAAGAAATGCATAGTAGGGGGTATTTTATAGTATGGATGAGAAATTGATGGGTGTGGACAAGTCTACACCACATCCTGTGATAAGGATTGATTCACACCACACCACAATCTACAACTGTTTTGAGTAGGTGTGGTGTAAATCAGTCCATGTCACATTTTTTTATTCCATATATTTCATATACATTTTATGGGAGATCTACATAGTCGATCATAAATGTCTAATTTTTGTATTTCATATGATAAATAAATTAAAAAATAGGCATTAATAAATTAATATATAGACACCAATTGAATTTTTTTAATAATTAAAAAATATTATTTTAAATTTAAAAATTAATATTTTAAATATTGTTTTATTGATAAAAACATTAAAAAAATAATATTTAAATAATAAAAAAATAGTGGAGAAGGAGAACCGTTGGACTTGTGCTATAATTAACATTACAAATTATTAAAAGATTAAATAAAATGAGAGTAATTTTTTTGAAGGCAATAAAATGAGAATAAATATACCAATGTAACACAAGTGCGTTACATTGAAACATTCCCACAAACTGTCCACACCATAGGCAACCGGTTCCGTTTTACCCCAAACCCGGTCCCTGGTCAAAAACCGTTAAATCAATCAATGACCCATTGACCCGGGTGGTCAAACCATTGACCCGCTCAATGGTTTTTGGCCGTTTTTTATTTTTAATTATTTTTTATTTTTATTTTTTTATAAGAGCGGCTCTTCTGTTCGAATTAGATGATCAAATCGTCGACCCAGAAACCAGTGGCTAGAACGGTCACATTTCCAGGTCGTTTTTAAAACCATACTATGAACAATAAATTGGAGCGTGACCCGTTTCCATCCATACTATTTTGTGGATGGGAACCGTCTACACATAAAAGAACACAATATTTTACCATAAACAAAATCAAAACGGTCCCACATTCAATATTTAGACACTAGCTAACGCCACCTTATTTTAGTCAATTAATAGAATGCGTGAACGATACAAATTCTTAAACTGCCGTGTAATCACGTTGCATCCATATGTACAGTACCAGCAGATGACTTGGCGGCACCAATAACCTACTTGTATTATCTTTTCATGAAAAATTAAAACAAAAAAAAAACAGGAAGACTAGAAAAATATACTCAAGAAATGTTTCTCACGCTTAGGGGTGTTTTTCAACGTGCTTTTTTTAGGTGAGTTGCAAAGCAAAAACAAATTAAAACTGTGTTTTGAAAAGAAATTGTTTCTTAAAAAACATGAAAAACATGTTATTGGTTATCAATGTGTTTTTTGTTTTTGAAACTGAAACCAAATATGTAACATGTTGTTGAATTTCTAGTTTGAATTAAACCATAAAATATAAGGACAAGTATGGATACATACGATGCAGAATTCTGAATTCCAGCACCCCCTACCACTAGCTCTCCCCCCAATAAACCACATCCTACCCATGAATTTGGCATCAATTCACCGTTAGGGTGCATTCCCCCTGTAATTTGGGGCTATAAAAATCTGAGCTGGGCTGATTGGTCATTCTCCCTAAAATATATCTCATCATCTTCAATAAATCACAAAGGTAAAAGACTTACACATATCCTCTATCACAAAAATATCACATGCTATTCTCATGTAATGTTTGTTACTTGATTCAATTAGAGGGCGTTTGTTTTTGGATTTTGAGAGGGAGAAAATTTATTTTCATGGCTCATTTTCTAGGTGGGAGAAAGTTACCAACACTTGGATAGGATAAAAATGTCCCTTTTAATAATGAATTTTTATAACTAAAATAGTCATTGTCTTATTTACTTAAGAAATAAAAGAAAATGAATAAATGCACTTACCTAGTTAAATAACTTATTATCCAAAAGCGAATAAGGCCTTAAAATTTCTAAAATCATATTTTGCCCCCCTTCTATGTGTTGAGCCTTTAAATACTAACGCAAACAACGTATTTGTTCATACCAAGGAGGAGAAAATGGTTTTGGGTTCTGGATTCTTTCTATAGTTCACAGCAGAGAAGATGAACCCAAAATACCTGATTCTCCTATTTTCCACTTCATTTCTTTCCTATTTTGTCAAAAATTCAAGCAACAATTGATTTCTTTCGATTGTCTGCTGCATGGTTTTTAAAACTGGATTGGACCGGAAAAACCAGTAACTAGTTAGTCCCCCGGGTCTGGTTATATTACAAACCGGCAATTTCTTAAAAAACATTGAAAAAGTAAACAAAGCGTTTACCCGGGCGGTCGAACCGCTAAACCGTTCGACCCGGACAGCGGTTCGTGGGTTCTAATTTTTGATTTTTATGATTTAATAAAATAAAAAATAAATAAATGACTACCATATTCCCGACCCCAAATCTTACATGCTTAGGGTTAGAATGACCCCATTTTCATTCTAACCCTTCCCTCCACTCAGCCCTCACACCCAACTAGCCACGTCTACAGCATCCGACGGCGATACACAGCGATCGATGGCAATTCACGACGACTAGCGATGGCAGTGAACTTCATCTACAGCGGCAGCGTTGATTTTATAGCAGGTCCAGCTGTCCAGCAGTAACAAAATGCGGCCAAAAACAGGTCCGGTGAGGCGGTGACCGATTTGTAGTAGCGGCCGACGATTTTGCAACGGCGGTCAAATTTACAGTGGCGATTTTGCGGGGGTTTATACTTTTTAGCAGCAGTAACAGTTGCAAACTTGCAGCGGCAATCACCTACAACCAAGCCTGAACCCACTAGCGGCAAGCCCGCCGTCACACCACCATTAGCGGCAGTGAATCGGTGAAGGACCTGAAGCCTATCTTTCTTATAATTGATAGATAAAGATAATAGAAAATGAAGCCTATTTCTCTTCAACTTGAGATATATACATAAAATGTTTTAAGAGAATCATATCAGGATCTCATCTCCTCCTTCTAGAAATTCACCCTAGGTAAAAAGAAAAGGAAAATGATATTGCTCCTCTGGCCTTGTTAAGAATCATCAATTGAAGTCATCAATTCCCCAAAAAGTTTGAACTTGTCAATCTCTTCATTCTAGAAATTCACTCTAGGTAAAATGAAAAGGAAAACGACATTACTCCTCTGGCCTTGTTAAGAATCATCAACAAAGTCATCAATTCCCCAAAATCATTAATTCTGTATTTTTTTCTATTTTTATTTAATTTTATGCTTTTTTATTATTTATAAATATATTTTTTATTTTTAATTTATTTATAACGTCATGAATCAAACCGTTCGACCCGGATGGTTGAATCGCTTAACCGAAAACCGGTCCCCTGACCGGTTCTGTTTCCGGTTCGTTTTTTAAAACCTTGGTCTGCTGAGATTTTGTAGAGAAAAGCAGTTCAGATTTTCTTCCTTGATTCTTCTCTCTAATCCCTTCTCATGTGACAATTCCGTTACAGGAACCTGGGCAAATTGAAAAATAACGACTGTAATAGGTAATACACCTGTCCTGATAATTTCTTCTATTACTCTTTTTTGTTCCCAGACAGTCTGTATAAAACCGTCTTTTTTTTATCTATTTCACATTAATGTTTGTGGAGATTAAGGTCTTGGGATAGATTTGGATGAAGAAAAACAGATTAATGCATCCATAAATTTTCTATCTTGAGATATAGTTTCATAAATGTTAATTTTTTGCTTTAAATTCTCTCTTATTGCAGTGTTACGTATAAACTTGTATATTCCTTTTATTCTATTTCTCTCTCTTTCTTTAATTAGTTAGCATTAAATTTGCTTTAGGAAGATTAGAATTGGGTCCTCTGATTTCTCTCTATTTTTTTGGATCTCCTACCCAGCATAAGAACTTTACCCATACCTGCCCATATGATATAAGAACTCTACTTGTATGTTATCATTAATGGGAATGTTCCCAATGCAATGTTGTGGTGTCTTGTGTGTGTAGGTGTCTTGTATATGTGCGTTACCCATGGTAAACGACTTATTGAAACACAAACAAGGTATCTCCTAGGGAGTACACCACGGCACTACAGGGAAAATAGAGGATCCCAATAGAAGACGATGGTTCAAGGGGTGTTTTGCAATTTGGATGAGAAATTGGTGGATCTAGACTAGTCCACTTCACACCAAGGATCAAAATTGTCACATATCGGTCTATATCGGTCGATACGTATCGTATCAAAGCCTTTCCGATACGTCCCAACAAGGGGTGTTTCAGGTCGACAAGTGGTTCAGAGGGTAGACCGGCGTATCACCCTTAAAAACAGAACCGATACAAGCTAATACACCCTATCAGCGTATTACCCTGTATTGATATTTTGAACCTTACTCCACATCACTATGGCAGGAACCAATCCAAACCACAATGATATCTACATTTGTTTTGAATTGTGGATAAACTGTGTGAACTAAAATTATCCATGCCTAAAGCGGTGTTCTGCAAATGTGGCGTCGACCAATCCAAATCACACTTTTTGATTCCATACACGTTTTTTTCTTGTTGATGTGGCAATTTTAACGATAAATGAAAAAAAAAAGATTCACGTTGTAGAACACCCCATTATTGTGTCCTAGTGTGCTCGCCAACCTTCTTGTGTGTTCACTGAATGATTACTTAAAGAAACTCATGGAATTGTCAATGTGATTAATTGAAACCTCAACATATATATTTGTTAATTCTAACACATATCCAATATGATCAAAGGGTTCTAAGTTTATCCTGAACCCCTGGAAAAATATAAATTTTCAAAAGCCTTCACATCCCTTTCAGGGCGAGAAGTCCACATATTGAGCGTGCTTGTCATTTGGGTTGGATAAGATCCCAGAGTCTTACTCACACTGGGCCCATTCTCCTATCTAGTCACCATTCGTTGCCAATAACATTTTAGCAAAATCACATCCCGAATCAAACAAACTGATCAAAAGCAGGAGAAAGATTTCTTTATTTTTTCCACCTCTAGCCTCTTTCTTCATATTAATTTAAAAATAATAAAAGAGTTAAAAAGAAAGCCTATTTGTCTGCTTAAGAGATTTGAGGACGTGAACAATTTAACTTCTGAGTATTTTCTTGTTGCCTGTCCAAATTTTCTCCAAGATACTATTAGTCTTTGGTTTCATGGTCATGGCCTCTTCAAAGAGATTCGACAAATCTCTTGGGGCCACAACGTTATCCTGTGGATGATAGAAGACCACTTATTAGCAAAGTGGAGAAAGGGTCAAGTGGGGAGAAAGGAAAAATAAATGGACTACCATTTTGGGATGGTCGTTGTATTGACGTGAGGCCAAGGTAAGAAGCTGAAATTTTTGCTCCTATCAAAGCCACTTCATAAGAAATTACATAACTTTTCATAAACAAGAACAAGGAGAGTGGCCCTATATCATTCACTGTGAATCGGACTGTTTCCTCTTTTATAAGAAAGAGCCAAAGTTTTTTTTTTTTCTTTTTTCTTTTTTCTTTTTTGGCAATTAACGATTTTGGAGCTTGTTCTTGCGTCAGATACAAGTATAACCGATAACTGAACTAAAGAGAAGAAGAAGAAGAAGAAGAAGAAGAAAAAGCAGGCTTTCTCTTCTTCTTCTTCTTCTTTATTTATCTGGTTCGGCGGCCTATTGGTGGGTTTCTGTGCTTGAATTCTTTTCTATTTTTCTTTTCAAGCTCTAGCTCTGAGTTCTATTCTTTTTCAGACTTACAACATTGACACTTTGTTTTCATCTAGTATCTGGGTTCTTTCTATTCCTTTGTTTAAGACTCGATGGATTTACATTGTTCTGAGCAGGAATAATTTGGTATACATTTGTATGCAGATTTCATAATTCGAGCACCGTCCTACCCAACCAAGACAGACACCCGTTAAGTAGGTACTGTATTTTGTTAGAGAAGGTTCTCCTCCTCGCAACTGGGTTTCTTTCGTGTTGAATTGACATTGTAACACAGAGATGCTTCTATCCACTTCTGCCACCCTAGTCTTTGGTGGACTATTTCAGCTTTAACCGAAATCCTCCGTTCTTTCTGTTTCCCGTTCTTGTTTCGCAAAAATTTCTGTTCCATTTAATTTGGTTTTATTTTATTGAATTTAATCTAAAGATTTGGAAATTGGGCAGCTACATTTCTGGGTTCATCTTCTTCTTTTTTTTTTCTTTTAATCTTCCATTTCAATATCCAAACTTTGAACAGGGCTCTGTAATTCTTGTTCAGTTTATTCTTTCGTATATAATTCTTTCTCAAGTTTCCATCCTTGTTTGTAACAGGTTTCTTCCAATTACATGAATGCAAAAGCTATCTAGTGAAGAAGATTAAACTCCAAAGCCATGGGGCATTCCTACGAGACTGTGAACGAGGATGAACCAGATGATCATGGCCGAAAGATTATAAAGCAGTCTCCTTACCAATTCTGCAGCATGTTATCGTCATCTTGGTTCCAACTGAGAGTGTTCTATGTGAGGATCAGTAATTGTGAGGTCGACAATTCAACCCCCGAGTACCTGACTCTCAACCATATCCCACTCAGTCCTGAAACCCACCTAGAAGTGAATGGTGTGAGAAGTAGCATCTACTCTGAAGGCATCTCTTCCCTTCTTAGACGAGACCGAGCGGATAAGAAATCTGAAGAAGTCACGTTTGTGAGCACAGACAGAATAATGATGATTGGGAGTGTGAAGTTCGATATTCATGACAAAGACAAACCGGTGCTCTCTGGCATACTGGAGATGTCTAATTGTAATGGTTCTGTCGATGAATTGAAAAGCAAAAGCCATGGAAAGCAGTGGAGCATGAGTTGTGAATCCAAGATAGTTGCAGGAACAGGATTCTTGAAGGGAAAACAGTATGTGGGTCCTGAGTTACTTTCACCAACCATTGACGTTTATGTTGCAGGTTGTTTCTCTGGGACTCCTATCATCTTGACAAAGACTCTGCAGCTCAGTTTTCGAAAGAAGCACAGAATAAAAGGGATGTTGGATTCAATCCCAGAGAATGAAACAACTGAATGCGAGAAAGATAATCCATCTGAGCTTGCTTTCCAGGTACTTCGTTTGCTAATTCGTTCTGCTTGCTCAAGTGTTCCTTGTTTGAAACTGATGCTCTTGGACTGACGAAGATGATCCATTTTAGGAAATCTGCGGCCACACTCGGGGGGTTTTAATCCATATGAATGATCTTGGTCTAGTGTTGGATTCTCGTTGCTCCTGTTATAATTAATTAAATTTCGTGCGAGGGTGTGTTAAAGAATAGATATCTATCTCTAAAGCTCAAGCTCTTAGGTTGAATGGTTCAGGAGTAGTTTTGTTTTGGATAACAATATCATATAATTGGCAAGGACACCCTTAACTTCAGAATCTGGCTTCTTTTTTTATAAAATTAAAACATATGAAAAAAAACCTGACTGTGTTCTTTAATGAAATTAATTCTCTTTTTTGGGTCTTACTATCATCAGCAAAACGGACACATAGCGAGACCCATAAAAATGAGAATTGGTTTCTCAATTCAGAAGCTTCAAATTTTCAGTTCCTGAATCAGGAAAAGATATTTGGACAATCAGGTTTTTGACATTTTCTGTTGATTTCAGAGATCGAAATCACCATGACATAGCATTAGGGCAAATCTATGATGCAGGAAAAGTACGATACCCAACTTTGACCAATCTCAACCCCGTGAGAATTTTGATGAAAACCACCCGATTGATTACCACTTTTCTGATACCGGTTGACTGGTTGGTTATAAGTTTTTCCTGTATCATCAGATTGGGTCATTTGAGATGAGATGCGTGTGGATTCATACTTGATCCAAGATCAAATTCGGATCGCCTTTAAATGGATTAGATTAGAAGGACGCATAATTAGTAGCTAACTGAAATCTCTATTGTGAGGATGGTAGTGGGAGGGGATACTTGAAGTTCAAAAGAATTAGGTACTGTTTGAGTCATCAACTTAAATGCCTTGTAGTAGTTGAGATTTGAGAATTTAGTTATTGCAGATTGAATCTCTTTGACAGTGGGATTACTTTTCATCTGGCTTTGATAAGTTCAACAATTGGTTATTACTTTGCTATCATTATTAGCCTGTAGCTTTCAGCTATGATCTTCCTGCTTTGTTATCATCCCGATTCCTGTTTCCTTGATTGCAGATATCGGAGTACCAGAAATGTAAACCAGAGACAATAAAAGACTACGATGAGCAGTACACAGGAGCAGAATATTTAGAAGGTTACGGTGGCGAATTCTCATGGTTCAACGCTGGAGTGAGGGTGGGCGTTGGGATTAGCCTGGGAGTTTGTTTGGGTCTTGGAATAGGAGTAGGTTTTCTAGTCTGCACTTATCAAGCAACCACTAGAAGCTTTAAAAGAAGGCTATTGTAGTCATAGACTTCCTGGTTCGCCTCGTAATCCTATTCATTACATTTTATTCCTGAGATGCATTTCATTGCACAATTTGCACTCAACTGTGTTGCTTGTTCAACAGGTCTGCTAGTACTGAGGCCTTTTTTTTCTGTTAATGGAAAGAAAGGTGGGTCTTCTGGATGGGTGATACGAATTCTTATGGTCTATATATGGTTAAATTTGATAATCATCCCACTTGCTATTGTTATTGTAAATGGTTAATTGTACGCTTCTGCTGGTTCCAGGAATAAGCTCTGCAATGTTCATACCTGAATTATGATCAGTTTGATCCATGAATGGGTCTCATTTTGCTGAATTTTCTTTGGAAACCTACTAATTGAGCTTGAATCAGCTCTGACTTTTATTCTTCTTTTTCAAATGAGATAATGGTCGGCCACAATTAACTCAAGGGCCGTGGAAACCATACAAGGCATCAATTATGACTACCAAATGGTACTGTCTGGTTGTTGGGTTGGGCTAATTCAGCTTGCTGGTGGTGCAAGAGGCACCTGCTCGGGAGCCACCTCTGCTCCTGAATAAACATTATTGATATGGCAAAGCTTGTTTTCAAACCCCCACACTCTGGCAGCTTTAACATCGTCCTGCATCATTAATCTTGAGAATTCTTCATGGTCATACTGCAGCTTAGCTTTTCCCCCGAACTCCACTGGAAGGTTCTCAACATCAAAATACGACCGCATGAGCTCCACGCTGTCTTTGTTATTTGGGTAGACGAATTTCACCTTCTGGAATGTTTTCTGATCCAGGAAGTATTTGATAACCTGCACAGACAAAATGTGAGCAGCTCAATGAACTGATAGAAATTGGAATATCTTATCAAAAAAGGCAGCAAGGAAAACCACCCAGGCTATCTGGATTAGTTAGAACTAGGCCATTCAATCAGATTACTTAATAACTTGATGGTTTCTCAGTCACTCCTGGGTTTGTCCATTGAAATGACTAGGTTGATCCGGATTCTTAAAGACTACTTTGTATTTGTAACACCTATGTACCCTTAAAAAAAACAGAATTAATTGTGGGGTGAATGGCCCAAACCTTCCAAAAAGCTTCAAAAATCCTTGGGGGATTGTAGAGAAATGCTACAGCAAGCCTCTCAGGATAATGGTTTTGTAAAATGTGTGCAGAATCCCTGGCTGTTTTGATGGGAACACTGGCGCTCAATGACCATCCGGTGAAATCTATCAACCATGACATCTGTTCTTGATCCTCAGGAAGGTTAAGGATAGCATTCTCTAGCAGATACACTAGATGTCGGATGTGGCCATCTGATGATGATGTATTCTGCAAAAGAAAAAAATGCAAAAGAGATTATTTTTCAAAACCACTAGAACTGATGCAAAACCTGAAATGGAAACTGAGTACAAAACCTGCATTCCTGGTCTCATTATAAGAACAGTCCTCCCATGTCGATCATGAAAGTTTGCTCTGGACACTTTCCCTGTCTCACCTTCTTTTTCCACTTCATGCTGATAATTAAACAGGTCTGTAAGCCCAATATTCATAACTTAACCTCAAGCTAGAAAGTCCAACAAATTTTGTTACAGAGAGTTACTCCACTATATAGCAAGTAGCTCCTATATAATAAACATTCTCTTCACTTGCAAGAATGTTTAACAAACAACAGAGATACAAGTATGGGTGGTATTTGATATGTACTAGACTGGAGTAAAATTTGCCGGACTTACCCAACGGATCTCCTCAGGCTTATAAGTTGACCTCCAGTTCAGTGTTTCTTCCAGCATTTTCTTAGACTTTTCCAGGTTCCAGTTCCGAGCTTCTAAATATCTTTTCAGGCATGCATCAGTACAGTATTGTAGACTACGGTCTGATAGTGGACCAATGGCAATTCTGACCTCTTTAACCTGCTCACAGAATAAGGATTTGCTATATTTTAGAACTAACCACATTACCATCTTGTTTAACATCAGTGAATTTTGATATCATGTTTGCTTTATGAAAAGCATAAAAATTTGCTTTAAAAAGGACTGATCTACTTATTTGATTAAAACTTCTCGTGGACCAAAAACTGTGGAAATGATTCAGAATATAGTTCTAGCAATATTCTCTCAGCAATGCATTGCCATTTCCCCTGTGGCTTATAAACCATTTGATGGACTCTTTAATTTTATGTTTACCAATGGTATGGAACCTCAGTTGAGTTATTAGGTCAATAAATGAGGACACAAGGATCAAATTGAAGTATTTGTCCATAAAAAAGGTAATGAAGGCTTCTAAAGCCATATCCTGCGATTTGTAAATTGTAATGAAAAAACAAATAAACATGTCTGCCTATCTTCTAAGTCTATAATCCTCTGTTTACCATAGCGTCTTTGTGTGAAGAATCATTCTCCTGATGATGCAAGTTCTTTCTCCGAAACATGGTGACAGGGTTCCCAACCTTAAATTGAGCCTGACCCAAAGGCGGTAAAATTCACGTTAGACTTAAAATAGATCTTTTGAAAGTTTCTATCAATTCAAACCAAATGATCAACAAGTTAATAGAGTCAACTGTATAAACACAGTACTGAATGCATTGGAGCAAAGTTCAAATATGAATCAACAAAAATACTCTAGGACGAGTGGCATTTGTTAGAAATACTAATATTCGTCTGCAGCAAAGTCCAAAGATATTCAAACACATGATCTTCAGATTAACAGATGGTTCTATGCCAAACATCACATTTGATATGGTCTCTTCAAGCAGTTCCAGAATTGGCAAGCAGAGAGACTAATTTACAGAAAGCAAGTTTTAGAAACTGGATAAGACGGAAACATATAGAATGGTGTGGTTAGTTTCTTTTAGAGCATGAAGATCAAAAGAACCTTCATATTGGGAATTGAATGTTTCTTTCTTCGGAATTATCTTCGTGGGCAAATCCTGCCCAGTTTTCTAAACATTCAACCAATGTTGACGAATAACTACAGACTTTACTCTTTCTTTCTTCTGAGTAGCCTCTCAACCAACAACAACAAGATCCTTTCTAAATTTTGCATATAGAGTTGGGAAAAAAAAAGGAGGTATGTGATCAGGAAAACTCAGGGAAACACCAAAAGCTCATCAAGATCATCGTCGTTTTAATTTATCATTCCTCAGAAGACCAAATTCATGATTTGTATGTTTAAACCCGATGAGAGTTACAAAAGTCTTCTGAAAACGGTCACCAAGGAGGCAAGGACCTCTCAGCGAACAACTAACGGTCACGTCTGGGATATTCGACCTCTATGTTAAAGCCTAACGACTGAGAAAATAAAGTCAAAGAGGGAGAATTAATGGTGAAATTAAGATAGTTCTGGGAAAAGAAAGACAACACATGAGGAAACATTTCTGTTCTCTGCTGGGAGAGAGAACCTATGTGAACATACCTGCTGCTGCTGAAGCAGAAGGAACAGAGTTCGAAAGCTTTTTCTCTGTTTCTCGTTTTTCTCCCCCGCAAGGTATGAAAAAGAGGAAGAGAGAGAAGGTGAGTTGACTGAAACCAGAAAGCAGAAATCAGAATTAGTGTGGAGTGGGTGGAGGCTGGAGCCCGGAGGGTGGTGGCCTTATATGCATATAGAGTGGAGAGAGAGAGAGAGAGAGAAATAAAATAAACGTACAATCGTACATGATATAAGGATCTTAACCGTCAGGTATTGGGTACACGTACATATAATTTGCTTTCGACTTTCAAGGGCTGATGAGGGACGATTCATCAATGAGCTGAGCTCACTTCCATGGGCTGAGGCCCATGAGCCCATGGGCTGCTGTTAATTTTCAGCCCTCTCATTTTCAAATCAACCATTGAAATGCCAAAACAAAATTAAATAAATTAAAAAAGAAAAATAAAGTTGAAATGTCAACATTCAACAATGATAATGATGGGATTTCCGTGCTCCTCAACTTTATTTATTAAATATTCTTGTCCTTTTGCTTTTTTTTGTCAAATCTTTCTAGAAAGTAGTGTCTACGTACTTCCATACGGTGTTACACAATCTTCACAATACAAAGTAGTGTGGTATCACGGTGCCAGATGCTCTCTCTCCCCTTGTATTTAACTGCTAATTACTTGTTAGCATGGTTTAAAGTATCGATGGGCCAATACGTATTGTGTCGATGGGCTTATTGATACGTCCCTTCAGGGTTTGTATCGGGTCAGTTACTGATTTAGAAGGTAGTTGGGCCTTAAACCAACTTCTTTAAATCGATTTTGAAAAAAAAAAAAAAGTAAAACATAAAAAAGCTACTGATATAGTATGATACGCTTTTACTGATGTATCAGGCGTATCAATATTTTAAACCTTGTTTATTAGTAAAAAAAAAATGTTCACTATTCTTATGTAGTAGTGGGCTGGTGGGCCTCATCATAGAGTGCTCCTTTTTACACCAACTTTACAGTCACATCCCACCGTATTTTAGGAATATCTCTCCATAAATAATAAATATAAGTATGAATTTGTGATGCAGGCCCTTATCAAAAGGTAGCAAAGATGAATCGATAATTTTTCCATTTTTGAAAGAAATGAAGTAAATTTGATTTGAGATTGAGAGTTGAGACTTTGAGCCTTGTCAAAATGAAATTGATGACTACACTACTAGAAACTCGAGTGTAGCCCAATTGACTCTTGAGTCTTTCCCATATGTATATATGTATGTATACTCATAAGCCCCCCCTTTCTGCGACGGGATCTTCTGCAAACAAAAACTCTGCATGCATGAGCATTCATCGGCATATTGGAATTTGGAAACATCTCCCTATGAATTTATTAACATACATGTCGGGGAGATATTCCTCATATGCGGTTCGATTATCTGTGCAGAGTTTTTGCTTATAGGAGATCTCACCTCTCCCTAACCCTTGTTGCAAGTTGCAACGATATTTGATCCTTAAATCTCCACTACAAGTAGCCAAAGAATTTATCAAACCGCCATCAATCAAAAAATCTACAAAAATTGAATTATACACCAAATATATGCTTAAGTTAATGAATTAAAATATAGTTGCTAGAATAATACATAAAGGAGATGTTTTGATTGATTGAAATACATAACAATCTCCAATAACCTATGATTTGGACCTGATGCTTGCTAAGCAATCATAATAATTTAAAATTATGATCATATAATGCATCCAAGCCGGTTACTTACCTTGGAAGGAACTATGAAATTTATACAAAGTCATATTTTTGTCATTTTATAGACAATATTGAATTTAACATGTTTTTTTTTTTTATGATTATGTTATTAGAAATTGGTTTTATAAAATAATAAAAGGCATGTGAAAAGAATTATGGAAGATCATGTAGACAAGCACATTAATTAAAATTTTAGTCGCAGATCAATATCAGAAAAAAAGTGACATCATACAAGAATTTCTCTTAGATGACAAAAAACTTTTAAGTTAGCTACCTAACCATTGAAACATAACTTAATTACAAGTTCGATTACCTAAAAGTATAGAACTCACTCTAATTTACTAGAAATGTAGCATCAGTTTTATTGAATCATACATGAAGGTACAATACTTTTCATATTTTTTCACAAAATCCAAACAATCCTTAAAATAATAGTTATCCATTGAAAAAAGAAAAAAGACAAACCCTTAAAAGCCAAACATAGGCTATTAAAATTCCTTACTTTCACTCAATTTTCTGTCAAACCAAACACAACCTAAAGTTACCTTCTTCCTTAGATATCTATTTGTAGACTGTTGGGCTGAGAGACCTGTGCCAAACACAATATAGAGCAATCTTGGTAGGAAAAGATTTATCCATAAGCATTAGTTCTCGTTCGAATTGGACTAAAAATAGGAATGCTGTGTGGTTTCATTTCTACCCGTTAATTGGATGAATAACTGCTCAACCCCTAAAAACCATCATTTAACCAAGACCCGAAAAGGCCACTGGTTCCCAATTTTCACGGTCCGACCATCCGGTCTAGGCCGACTCTTACAACATTGTCTCCAAGCTTTCTTTCTTTACATATTTGGTGTATGGTCGTCGAAAAGTCAAAATCAACTGCAGGCTGAAAGTCCCATAATGGCAAATGGCAACTACAGATGTAAGTTGCGATGGGCCGGCCAATCTGTTGGGCTAGGCTCGTGTTTTCCTTTTTGGGCTGGATTTGGACTTAAAACCCATCACCATCCAATGGTTTTTCTTTTTTTTAGGTATTAATCACTGCCTAACACTTTTATAGGGGTCAATACTCTTTAAGTGAACAATACAGTATCACATCAACAGCTCTTTTCTTACGGAGAGAATCGAAATCGCACCACCGCTGGGACAATTCATTCAATGCACTAACCGGGCTACCCCTCAGTTGGTGCACTGTTAAGAATATCAAATTATCGTTAGCTTGTGTTGTCATCTTCGTAGTTAGTCAGATTGCGAAGGGTTTCTATTTTGTTTCTAGCCAAAATGGACCAAAATGGGAAAAATGTTGCCAATGTCAAATCCGAGCTGAAGTAATAGGCTAGTAGGGCCTTTGAGTTGGTTTGGCCCTTCTTGACTTGGTGTGAAACCCGGCCCAACCACCCAAATGAAGACCTTGTGAGCAATGAAATTAAGTGCCCATTTGGGAGCTTTTGAGACGAGGCTTCTGGCATTCCAATATGAATGGTAGAAGCTGGGCCCATACATGAATGGTAGAAGCTGTGTTTGATAAAAATCCGGAAAAGTCAATATGAGCTTTCCAAACACCGAAACCACTATTCAAATATGAAGCTAGTTCTGAGTAGATTTTCCGGAATACCAGTGGTCAACAACCACAGCTCAATTAAACGCATAACCCCTCCCAAACGGGCTTTAAGTTATACTATAAAAGCATGGTTCAAAAAATCGAACGATACGTCCTATATCAAGCGTATCGTATTGTATCGTATCGTATCTTTTAGGTCCTGATACACCCGTTTATAGGTGTTTCGAGACCTCACTATTTTCTAATGAAAAATATAGGTGTTAAATTCCTCAAAAACCAAATTTCGAAAAAAAAAAAAAAACATATTTCTGTGTGGTTCAAAGTACCGATACGTCTTAGAATTTGAATTATTGTTATTTTGTAGAATGTAAATGAATCACACATCACATTTATGAATTGAATGTAAAATATTGTTATTCTGTGGGGTTCAATGTAAATGAATCACAGGCAAAAAATCACAATTTTACCCAAGGTTCTATTTTATTCTACGAATGAATTTGTTGCAACTCAACAACAAATCCCATTACCTAAATTAATGAAAATAAATAACATTCCTCAGATATGTCTCAGAACTTCACCTCCAATTTCCTAAGACTACATCATCTCCAACAATACATTACAACCAGAAAAGCATACTTAAAAATAAGAATTTGTTGATTTTGTATACAAAACATAAGCATGTTTTAGATCAAATACAAACTGATCAATTGAATTATTTATCAGTTATGTCTCTTAATGGAAAGGACACACTCCTCAATTGCTGAATGGCATGTTGAGACTTGAGATGAAAACTTCACCTCTACATATTTAAATACATGGCTTAATTGGTCAAAGGTTCAAAGGTAAGAAGGAAGCAAGAGGATTGGAGCTCCAATGCAAGAATCACCTTCGTATTTCTACGAGGTAAATAAGTTAGGGGGCTTTTATTGTTCAGTCCACCTCAAAAATCTTAATTCTATCATAAAAGTGGAATAAAGATAGAAGTAATGGAAGACCAGTCTTTCATTTCATACCAATGCAATCTTATTCTATAAATTATAAATCGTGATCCAATGAAAAGAGTTGTGTTATCATCCATTCATCTCTACAGACAATAATCATCACAACACATGGTTGGGTTTTGATATCTCCCTCCCACACATATAATTAATAAAATGCCCCCACGTGAGGGTCTTCCTCCACTGGCACTCACTCAAACTCTGATCATTTGTTTAAGCCATCATCCATCTTTATCTTATCTTTTCCATCTGATATTATACGTAGATGAATTGCTCAATTTCATCTTATAATATTATTATGTGGATTTAAGTTTAATAATGATATTTAAAAAAAAAAAGTAATCATATAATGAACTCATTGACCCACCACCAAATGATGTAACTATTGTCTAGTCTGAGACCCATTTGATGGTGGGCCCCCAATTTTTTTTTTTTTTTAATTTGGGTGGCATTTGTTAAAATAGAATTATATTATCTCTGAGAAAGCAGAAAGGATCTGAGTGTGGCATTGGATTCTGAATAGCTTTTTTTTTTCCTTCTGTTCTCCAAATGCAGTTGAACTGTTTGAATATCTAATAAAATAAGAAGAAAAAGTTTACTAAGTAGCACCAACTCCACCTGACAAAGAGAAGTAAAAGAGAGAGAGAAGTAAGGTTTTGAAATAAGAATAAAAGACATGGCGTGAGAGAGAGAGAGAGAAGCACCTCAGAGGTTCATTAATTGCAAACAAACACTACCTAAGACAGTTGGTTAATTAACGTGAGAATATCTTGGGGATCTCTAATGCCTTCACACGTGAAGCCTCAGCCATGACGTATTTTATTGAGCAAAGGAATCATTCAACATGACAATAAGT